TTGGCGACATTACTTTTCAAAATGGCAACTTTAGCCAACCAAGACATATGCTTTCCCTTGAACCTTGTCTTCTCTTCTCAGCTTCAATGCGGCCGTCAGCCTCCACAGCACACCGTCTGCATAGGTTGTTCTGGATGCAGTGGAGCGAGAACTCTCCCCTGTGATCCAATCCAGTGCGGCCTCGCAGGTGGTCTTGGCCAGAGCCTGAGGTCTTGGCCAAACCGCCCTAAAATGACTAGATAGTAGCCAGGACGCTACTAGTGGCTCCTGGCATTATATACTACTAGGAACAAGCGGACTACTAGTAACACACGGCGTCGCTACTAATTAGTAGCACGGACGCTGGTTGGGCATCCCCGGCCGTGAGGTCTTGGCCAACCGCCCCAGAACCTACCAGAGCACTCTGAAAGTTTATTGGAGGGTAGCCTGATGTACCAAGAAGGGGATGGACCCACTAAAATCCTTTATTTTAATATTTGAATCAGCAATTCACACGTTTGCATGGAAAGCTCAGATCCTTGGAGATTGCTGTTATTAAGGGATTTTGTTCCACTAGTGTTCCTTATGAGTCAGCATGTCGCGGGAGTTCCCCGAACTACCGCCAAGCTTAACTGTCGCCGTGGCATGGCAGAATGAAGGCGCTCGTCATAATGTTCGATCCTGATTAGTAAACGGGGGTCCCCCCCCCTTCAAATAAATAGAGGTCCCTCTATAATAAACTACCACCAAAACAAATCTGGATTCCTGTGAGAATTCCTGTGAGAAAGCTGTCAGTTTTGAAGAAACCTAGAGAAAACTACATCAGCTAATGAATCATAATCATTCGCCTCAGGAGCTAAGGAAAGGAAGATTACATGAGCAAGTTTTTCCAGTGGAAAAAACTTTTCACAATTGAGAACCCAAAAACAAATCTATTATTGAGGATCAGGTGCCTTCCTGGTCTACTACCTTGAACATTTGTTTAGGAGCAATGTTTTATAAAGGGTTAGTTAGGAATTGGTGGTTTTGGTCAGCTGTCAGTTTTGAAGAAACCTAGAGAAAACTACATTAGCTAATGAATCATAATCATTCGCCTCAGGAGCTAAGGAAAGGACGATTACATGAGCATTTTTTTCCAGTGGAAAAAACTTTTCACAATTGAGAACCCAAAAACAAATCTATTATTGAGGATCAGGTGCCTTCCTGGTCTACTACCTTGAGCATTTGTTTAGGAGCAATGTTTTATAAAGGGTTTAATTAGGAATTGGTGGTTTTGGTCAGCTGTCAGTTTTGCTTTGCTGCTGGCTGCTTGCCTGGGAAGGGAGGGGGAGTGCAGGTGGACAGGGTTCAGAAGGAATTCAATCCCTTATTAAATAGGTTTCCAATATAAAGAAATTAGGGCCCCCAAAAAAGTTAGCATTATTCAGGCACCATTTTTCAAACATGGGGTCTGGAATAATTTTGGACAAATTTAGCATTATAGAGTGCCCATTTACTAATCAGCATCCAACATTACTCTCAAGTCGATGTGGTGGGATTTGCCCCTTGCGGCAAAAGAGATCACAGTAAAGCTAAGTAAGAGATACATCCAGCGTTACATGCATATAATAGATCAAGGGACTGTACAGGAGGACTGAACAGCCACCGACCACACCCGAACCCTAGCCGCAACGGCCAGGCTGCATACCAGCTTGGCTACGTGTGCTTCGAGCAGCGTTACAAGCCATAGACTTGGGCTTTGATGTAGGCTTTGCAGCTGGGTGGTGTGAAACTCTTGTTCCAGGCTGCCGGACCTCAAAGCCAGAAAAAGGTCCAAAGACTAAAGCGAACCAGTCGCTACAGTACCAACCTTGCACACCCACCCACTTGAGACTGGATTCAGCCTTTGAACCAATCAGGTCATCTCCCTTGGAGATTTTTGTCGATTGTGTGGAGCTCAAGACTGGTGCCTGGAAAGTAGATATGTGGAGTGACATTTGGTACTCCTTGATTTTGGCTTTGCGGCCGGCGTTCAGAAGGTGGAATCGTTGATCATGAAGAGATGAGGAATCCACAGGCTGGAAATACTGGGACCTTGCTTGGATATGATGGAGCTTGTGGGAAGTATGTGGGAGAGTTAAACGAACTGTCATGTTCTATTCTAGACCCATGTAGCGAAGTGAGAACGACCGAGGGTGGATTTTCCGATCGTCCACTTGCAACTGGCTTGAAGTGGGGCAGGTTCAGTTCATCCTCAACGCCATGCTCGATGCGCAGTTCTTTGGCAAGCACTATAAGGATGTTGGTGAGAATAATTACCCGGGAAAGACATGAAGCGAGACTGTTTGGACGCCTCGCCTGCAACACACTCAATTGCCGTGGTTTCTCCAAGTGTCACTTTGCTTTTGCCAAAGATGTTGGCGCTTCAAGGTGGAGCTCACTCATTGTAATCAAGTGACCTGTTTTCCGCAATGTGGACGTGGAGTAGAAAATCTTGGAGTTGAGACCCGGCAATTCACAGGTTTTATGTTTTGTGCTTCCTTTCACCAGGTGGTTTGCATGGTACCTTAATCTCTGTTGAGCTGCGAAATTCACGTTGAGAAGGGGTATTGTACTTGTCAGCGATTTGCTAAGCCGTTGCATCCTCCGTAGCTTGGGCTTTGCCATATTCAGACCTCTTCCAGCTCCAGAACTGCAGTTGTAGATCCCCACTAAACATTGTATTTTAAACCGTTTCTATCTATTTGTGGGTTACTATCAATGCTTTCCCATCCTGGGAGTCACGCCGGCACCGCTGAGTCTCAATGGCTGCGATCCGAATCCTCGTGCTTTGATCCAAGCAGTCAGGAGCACCGGACTCCCGCCATCACCGGTGAATCCGACAGAGACTGAAAGCCGAAAGCAACAAATCTTACCCTTGGGACCCAATAAATGCAACCTGGAGCCCTGGCAAGTAATGCAAAGTCGGTCAACTATTGGCTTCAAGATTCATCAAAGGATATTTTGTTTAAAACTTTTAAATGGCTGGTGGCTTCAGTATCCTTTTCTATATTTGTGGCTGTTGTGATTTATATCTTGATATAATGTGCTCTTGACATGAGCACCAAGCGGTGAATGAAAAAAGCAAGTAATTAAGCATGCCAAACACACGGTTTTGACTCTTTTCTGAAGATTGCCGCACAATGCTGCAGCATCTGGGCTCGTGGAAGGGGGGTTGGTGCGACCGCTGCCAACATTTGTTTTCGTAGATCTTCCGCCCAACAAACTTGGCCACAATGGCTTGCGTCAACGTACCAGGCTTTCGTTGACGCATGTTCGAAGTGGTCACATGTGCACAACGGCCTTTCACGATTCCAATTTGGCGCATTCATGTCATGTTCAATTTTTGACATGCAGTATTTGCATGTAATTAATTGCAATGTTTTTATTTCAACATGGACACCCACACATGTCCTGCTCTAGTCTAAAAGGGAATTCGCTGTGAATCAAAGGTGTTCCACGTGCAGATTTTCCAGTCAGATTCAATCTTAAGGTTGGTCCTTAGAATTGCTTTATAGTCACACCAAGACTATGTTAGTCTTTCTTCCAAACTTTGTCAACCTCGGGTCGGACGCCAGGCCAGGCCTTAGCGCCGATCTCGAGGTTGATGGCACGTGTGTGGGGCAACGGCGACTCGGGCAAGGCTGGTCCTAAGGAGTCAACTGGGACGATATTCTCGTGAGGGTTGCAGCAGAGATGTTCAGAGCAAATACGCTGGCGAACAAATTAAGCTCTTGGTCGTTGAGTTCTTGACCTCTGATGGTGTTCCATGGTGCTACTGCAATTAGACGGTTCTTGACCTTTTACACCTAAGGACGCTACTAGGGGCTCCTGGCCATACTACTAGGAGCAAGAAGCTACTAGGGGCTCCTGGCATCGCTACTAGGAGCAAGGAAGCTACGAACGGAGCTAACATCAATCACATGTCAGCCTTTGGCGGCCAAGAGTGGTGCGAAAGCATCTCAGGGTGAGGCAAAGATGGTGAAGCCGAAGCATCAAGAGGTCGAGGAGACCGAGAAGCGGCGAGTGAAGGCTACGGGCTGGGTGTTCCACACACGGTGAAGGCTGAACGAGCTGTGTAGTATATCATGTATACGTATGTATGATTATGTATATAAAAATTACATATATACCATGTTTTGCGACTGGGGAAGGCATTCACTCTAATGAATGCGGCAGAAAACATCGAGTCTTTTTGTTGCTACTCAGGGCAACTTCTAGACTTCTTCGGCCTCGGTTACCCTGGACCATTCCCCATGCGAAGCGCCTCAGGAAGTTTCCATCGACTCCACCACCATGGTCCCCAGTGACCTCTACTGGAGCCTCCTCCGTGCAGGGGAGCGAGCCAAGAATGGTGGACAGCACCGGCTGAAGGAGCGACGCGGAGCATTGTTGGAGCACAGATGCACTTGCCATATCTTGTGGATCTGATTCAGATGGTTCAGAATCCTTGGTGATTCTTCTCCTCCACAAGCTGCACCTTTACACATGTATAAAATTGGAGAAGGTAGGGGAATCAAGATGAAATGTGTAGTTCTTGAAGCATCGGCGGGCTGACTGGTTTCTGGATAATTGGAGGTCCTTGAAGACCATGAAGAGTCACAAGATTTTGTTTGCAATGGATATTCAGTCATCATTTCCATGGTACAACCTTGATTGGGACGGGTGCTTAGCCCGAACAAGGCGAACGGTAGGTGTAAGGCTGAATATTGCAGACTACTGGCAGACCACGCAGAGGGCCGATGATGGCTGTGTTTGTTTGCCACTCAGCTAGCCCCAGGAGCGCCGTGGACAGCCCGAATCTCCTAAGCCGCATTTGGTGAGAACTTGAAGCGCTCGGCCAGTGAAATCTTTTCAAGCAGGGATTTGCAAGTGACAATCCGCTGCAGATGCCAGGCATTTCTGGAAAACTGAACACGTATGCTATGTGCTATGCTGCTGATTCGCGAAAAATTGGGCCCTATTTTGACACAAACCAGTGGGCAGAGTCAGAGAAGGCCTGGTGCTTGGATGCATTTGGATGCTTTCATGTAGAACGTCCACGCTGCCCGGGAACATGCCCGGTGTGCTGGGACCGGCGAATTCGCAGAACAAGATTTGCACGAAATTTGCGAAGGCGAAGGACGGATTCGACCGGTCGACTTTCGCAATGTATAGAATGTCAGCTGTAGAAATTAGATTTTCTTGCTAGGGAAGTTTCCAGGCGCCGTGAACCAGTCCAATGAGTGTTGGCCAACAGAAGCCACCAGTGACAGCTTCAGCATCGTTGGGACAAGAACCTGTGCACGGGTACTGGAAATGTTTATTAGATTTCCGTATGGGTCAGACAAAACAAGCGAAAGCTCAGATAAGATAAGATTTCTAAAAACCAGCAAATTGAGCATTTTGCCTAAAGCTTTGAGTCATATGTTTGACCTAATACCTGCTTAGGCTTTGGCCTCTAGTTCATGCGACGGTGAGAGCAAAAAATGTGCACTCACAGGACCTAGTCCTGGCAGATTCAACATGCTGTCCTGTGTAGGAACGGCCGTGCAACCATTTGTGACCAACACATACATCTATTTACTGTATATTTGCTAAACACCCATTGTGTGAATGAGTGTTGATTGTTGACGTGCATTCATGGATATTACAATCGTTCAGTGCTGAAGCCATTGCCATACACACAACCAGTAAGGAAACGTTCAGAGGTGACCCTGCGCGCAGCATGTGGTGCTTTGAGTTACAGCTGTTGACGAGCAAGGGGCCTTGCCTTCACCGATTCCACTTGCACTTGCACCAACACAAATTCAGACACCTTGCTTACATCAAGTTACATCAAGGGTGTGATCCTTCAGGTTTGAATGGTTCTCCTTGAAGAAGTGCAACAGTTCATAGAGCATCATCTCCAGGAGTTCCTTCCAAACATTCGTCAAGAACCGGTATTTCGGTGGGTCAGTGACTCCCAATGCCAAGGCTTCTTTCAGTGTGATTGCTCAAGTCAGGCTCAGAGGGTTTGGGAGGATGCTCCATGTCGCTTGCATTGAAAGCAGGAGCTTGATCCTGCCTGGAGAGAAGGCCAAGGTTGATCCGTCAGCATCTCAGACCCGCCTGCCTGACGTACCGGAAGCCACTCGTCATTGGTCATCGCCCAGCGCAGTTTCCATTTCCAAATTGCGACCTTTGCCAAAGCACCGATTGTACCAATGCTTGGCATGTGCCTTTGGGAGCCCAGAGATATTGGCGCCCAGAGATCCTCGCCGATACAACTCCGCCCGAGCCCGAGGACCGCCGAGCCCAAGGCATATTTTTGCTTCGCTACACTGGTGGCGGTTTTGAAGGCCACGGTGCCGAGGAAAATAGATGAAAGGAGCAGTGCCAGTGGCTGGTGTGAGAAGAAATATACAATTCTGCTAAGTCATTCCTTTTCATGCTTTCGTCAGTAATGGTTAGATCCGTATTAGTGGGAGGGGCCCCCCCTCGCCTTTTCTGGTTCTTTTGGCGTGCTTTTTGGGGGTGTCCGTAATAAAGGGGATCTGGAGGAGTAGTAGTAGTAGTAGTAGTTGTTGTTGTACTAGTAATGGTAGTAGTAGTTGTTGTTGTAGTCGTCGTAGTCGTAGTCGTGGTCGTAGTCGTAGTAGTCGTAGTAGTAGTAGTAGTAGTAGTAGTTAGTAGTAGTAGTAGTAGTAGCAGTAGTAG